TAGTAGTAGTAGTAGTAGTAATAATAATAATAATAATAATAATAATAATAATAATAATAATAGTTGTTCAATGCTGGGCACCTGGAATGAGACTGGAACAGGGTGGGTGGGTGTGATTTTGAGCTAGGGTTGATTCCTGGCAACTGATTGAGCTAGGGTTGATTCCTGAACTAGTCCCTGCAGTTTTCTTGTCAATAGGTCAGAAGTGGGTTGCCCTTGCCTTCTTCCTAGGGCTGAGAGAGAGTGGTTGGCCCAAGGTCACCCAGCTGACTTTGAGCCTAAGATGGGGTAGAACTAAGAGTCTCCTGGTTTCTAGCCTGGTGCCTTAACCACTACACCAAACTGGCTCTCTGACTGGAACAGAGAGCAGTTTAATTAAATAGTTTCATCGCCATCCAAAGGAATTGATGAAAAGGAGGTGCAGGAGAAGATACAGGAAGAGGAAGTAGGTCTTTAAGGTTATTGTTTCCTGGTCAGAATTCACAAAAAACAGGCGAACATCTGCTTTAGTATACCAAATCAATAGTTCATATCTACCTTCCTTCTCAGGAGTACTATCCACCCTATCTTGTCTTGTTTTTCCTAACCAAGCTGACTTTTTACTTGCCTTCACTGTCTTCCAAATTTGGGTCAGTTTAGTGAACAAGTCTATGACAGTATGGCAGAAAAATCCATGATGTTCCAACATGATGGGAAGAAAAACATTGTAACAGTTAGTGATTAGTAGGGCCTAGAGGCCATGCTGATGCTGTACATAAAAGATTCTGATGCTTTCTGTCCTAACCTATAGATTAACACAAGTATGAGTGGGGACCAAATATTACAGCACAAAGTTCTCCAGATCACTCTTCTAGCCGGTTAATCATGCTCTCTTTTTGGAATCTCTCTTCATCCACCCCAGCTAACACATGTGGCCTGCCACTGAGCACACAGAGTCCACACTGAACTATTTTTAGGGTTTTCCCCCAAGCTTGATGATATCTCCTTTCCTACGTGTGCCTGAGCTTTTGATTTGTAAAGATCAGGATTCAGAGAATATACTACACTGCTAGTAGTGTGTAAGAAAGCAAAGACTTTTGTTCAACCTCATCTTGGATTTTTATTATGAAATGGCAAAAGCTTTCATAGGTTATACCTCAGATAAGGTGTCATTGGACAAACACTCTGTTATCTAACATGGTGTTTATATATGGGAGAGACACAGGATAGTGAATAGTATGTGGTCAGGTATCTTTAGAATCTGACTGAAAACAACTGCAGCTGATGTGGTCAATGGTAAAGGGGTGAGGAGAGCAGCAAATAAACACTGTCCAAGAAGATCACATTCCTCACCTCTAGAAGATGTCTGGAATAAGAGTCAAGGTGAATTAGCTTACTTGTGTTTTGGATAAAGGGTTAAATGGTCCCAGGACCAGATTTTGTGCAACAGAATTCTAGAGCATTCCAAAATTTACACAGTCCTTTGAACCATTTTGATCAAACCTAATAAAGATAGTGCCTAACCACATATTTTTGGGCTTGTTATTGTTTAATGAACCAGAATGGCTAGGATTCTTTTTAAACGGTGTTTGGTAACCAAGAGGTGGGCGAAAAAGCTGCTAGACTTCAAGTGGGGAACTCTCCTGCTTTGGGCACCTCCAGGTGTGATTTTAGTGCTCATACCAGATTTACTCGGGGTGCTCCAGCTCAGTTTCTCCCCAGCTCCCCGTAGTGGAACATTTTGGAGCCTGGTTGAGCCTATTTCCTGCTAGCATTTCTCTGCTCTTTTCAATGGTGTGAAGGGTGGAGACTTTGGTGGCTATACAATTGCGAATGTTTAATAAAAGCATCGAACAAAACAATCCATGGACATGGGGTTCATGATGCTTTTTGCCCCTTCCTACTGGTCAGCTAGAAGCTGCGCTGCCCCATTCACCCTCCTCGGTTTGTGGATGTAATGGTGGGGAGCAGCCCTCAGGAGGTTTGGGGAAAGGAAGCAGGGCTGACCTTCCCGTTCCAGGAAGGAACCCCTGGGAAGGCCTCGGCGCGGGCTGTGCCCAAATCCCCAGCAAGACCTTCCGGACCCCCGCAAGCCGCTTCCCACTCATGGGGCAAACCAGATGGCCTCCTCCGAAGGCTAAAGGGTGCTCCAGAGCGAGGGCCCGTGCAATCCTTTTTCTGCCGCTCTGCGCACAAGATGCCTCGATAAATGGCTCTCCTCCTGGCCGCGAGTTCTCAAATATTTACTCATGCAGCGGACGTGCCACGCCCCGACTGGGTCTGGAGGGCTCTCGGCAGCCCAGAAGAAAGGGAACAGCGCGTTCGTGTACTGTACCTATAAATAAAGTTCACTGTCTAACTCTCCTGGACAAGCGGCTGAATTCCTTGGGAGTTGATCTCGCGGCCCTCCCCCCGCTCCAGGAGGGCGAGGCGAGCTGCTGCAAGGACTTTCCTCCCCGCCCCCCCCCTCCCCGCCGGCGGACACTCTCTGGGTGAACCTGTCCTGCGGTTATATTGACAGCAGGGCAGGAACAGGAAGTGAGCATTGTAAACTGGATAGCCTTTCAAGTTCTGACAAATTCCGCAAACAAACGGAGCGCTGTGCAAACACGTGGTGCGCCGGCGAGAAGCTGGCTGGCTTCGCCGACTCTTTCTCAGATTCCCAGGCGGGCACGTTGGCGCGTCTGCTGGGATGCAGGCGCCCGTGGCGTTGGCATCAGCGCCTACCCACAGGTGTGAATACGTCCCGGGAGATTCCCGCTCTCCCCAGTTCCCCCGAGGCTGCATTGGACCGGGGCCAACTGGGGTATCGGTAGGGATGGCGGCGGCGGCGGCCTCTTGGCCCAGCTAGAGACCCTGCAGGACCGGCCGCGACCGAGAGGAGCAGATGCGCTCCAAATGCGGAGCTGTTTTTCCATCCGCTCCAAATGGTTAGCCGCAGTTTATCAGCCTCCCGGCGCGGCTTAGCTGCTCCTAAAAAACCGGTGACGGAGAGAGCTTCTGTGTCTTGGTAGGCTGGCTTTGGGCTGTTCGTGCGCTCCC